GGGACGACTATAGGGTTTATCAAAGGGGATGCTAGGAGTGTAGACTATAGCTCACATGGACTACTTTCCAGCTTCGGGTTCTTTCTGTGGGAGGGTAGATCCCAGAGGAGGGAGAAGATGTCCGCAGATTTTGGTGAAGGTTCATCTGGGAGGTTCCCAAAATTAGGGGTACCCTATTGGGGGTCCCTATAAGGATTATAGTATGTTGGAGTCTATATTGGGTCCATTATTTAGGACAAGTACCATTTCCATCTTTTGGTACTTTGCTCCGGCTCAGAGAAGGCCTCTTTCAGTCATAGGGTTTAGGGTGGGGCAATGGTCCAGGATGAGCGAAGCCTGCTTTAAGTCATAGATATCCCACCGAGGTTTAGGGCAGTCAGAGCAGATGTGAAACTCTTGAAGCAGGGACCCGGCGTCCTGGGTCTCGGTTACTTAATTCTGAGCTCGCGGGTGTAGGGTTAGGGGTTTAGGGGTTAGGAGTTCAGGGTTTAAGGGTTTAGGGACATCTAGAATCTAGTTGATGGCGCAGAGTCCATGCCTGCTAAACGCGGCCGCATCTTATTGCGACACTTGCTGCGAGTAAGCGGAGAGATTATTTGCATAGATTTCATCGTCCTAGGAGTAGCGTCATTCGACTTGGCATGTGCAATGGTAGCCAAAGTGGTATGTGTAGACGTAAGAAGGGCAGGGGTGGTCATGGTCTAGTACAAGTAGCAGCTGTAGTGCAATCATCCTACAGCCCCATATCCTACATGAACACAAGGTAATTACCTTACTAGACTACACCCGACTTGCAGGAGGTGTTTCAAAATTTACGAAGCCGTTCATAAATCCACGAATCCTACAGGAACAAGTCCTAAGAACTCAGACCCTGTACACTATACCCTGAACCCTGAACTTTACACTACCTGCTCTCTGTTTACATGTATAAGTGTATATACATTACACATATATATATATNNNNGACCCCAACATAGACCACAAAATACATTATCACCCTCGAAAAGGTGCCCGTAAATTTGGGAATCACCAAAAATATATCTCTACACTACCTCGTTGGGCTGTGCGAGCCCTAATGGCAGGATTTCACCACGGCCTGTGAGAAAGTGCTGCCGTCTTTGAAGCACAAGGAGGCCTAGGGTTTAGGGGTTTAGGG